CACTTGACGCGAACGGAAGCTAATAACCGATACAAATGGCGTGCGCGCGTGCTCAAAAATTCAACTGAACGCCGCCGCCGCCGCCGCTGCAACCTCTCTCGCCCCTGCAGCTGCAACTGTTGCGACCTCCGAGCTCGAAAACAGCAACGGTGCCATTGTTAACCCGATTCGATTGACTGATATTTCATCGACGCCGATACCGTGCCGCCCACGCGCCGACGGTAATCAATGTAGCTTTCAACGTGGAAAGCAAACTGCCGAAGGCGCTTATCCCTTTCATATGCAGTCTACGCAGTCTGGGCCACTTAAAACTTTGATTGCAACAGATGTCATATATGTTCTCCGTGCAATTTTTATACGCAGTGGAACAGCCAAGTCAAATTTAATCAGAGGTCAGACTTTGCCAAATCTAAATGAATTCGATCTTGTCGCATGCTTATATACAGTTACAGTAAATTCTCCCTAATTGACGCGTAGTTTGTACACAAAAATGGACAATTTGGGAAGAGAATACATTACTATTAGAGGATACTATTACATTATATTTCATTATATTACATCATATTACATTATATTATATTATATTACATCATATTACATTATATTACATTATATTACATTAAATTACATCATATTTCATTATATCACATTATCTTACATTATATTACATTTTATTACGTCATATTACATCATATTACATTATATTACATTATATTACATTAGATTACATGATATTACATTATATTACATTATATTCAATTATATTCCATTATATTCCTTATATTACATTATATTACAATATATTACAATATATTACATTATGTTACATTATGTTACATTATGTTACATTATGTTACATTATGTTACATTATGTTACATTATGTTACATTATATTCCATTATATTACATTATATTACATTATATTATAAACTGCAAACAAATTGCCTTTCGTCTTTACAACTGAATCAGATATTTAGATGACCACCACTACATAAACCACCCAACTGATAAGGAATAGGTACGAAAATCGCAATTTGCAATCGACTATTTTGCACAATTTCCAAAAGAAGTAAGTCCTCTCCATCGTACAGTGTACCTAAAATTCCACGTTTCGTTAAACGATTATTCAAACACGATCAAATAATCAGCATCTTATAAAAAAGATATATTTTCATACTGAACCGAGTACACAGAATCGTCCTACGCAAGAATCCCCATCCATCTTCTGCGATTCAGGCAGAAAAAAATGTCCAAAGTTGAAAATGTGACATTTTTCCACGAAAGCTAAGAACGACGAGAAAATATAACTTTGTCATAAGAATTCTAGATTTAAGTTAAAAATATGGCAGGTTTCAAATATTTTTTCCGGAAGCCTGGCACGACGTTTGCACGCCGCACTGTCGTCAGGTTGGTACGCATTCTCGGATAATCAGGTCGTTAATGCGACGCCGTGCGTCGGTAGAAGTTACTCCCGCGGCGCGAGGGAAAACTTTCGGCTCTGCCCCGCTCGGATCTGCTCGGCTCGGCTCGGCTCGGCTCCGGCTTGGTTGCCACTTACGCGCAAGATGCATGCTAAAGTACTTTTCAAGTTTCGCTGAGCACACGGACGCAGCTGAGTTGGCTGGCTGCGGTGTCCGTGTGCTGCGACACGGGGCCGCGTTGCTTGTAAATGCGGCTCCTTGCATTATTAATCCTCCAGAGATACCGTGGCCCGGCTGTTATTGCGGTTACATCATAATTCGCAACAACGTTCCGCTCCGCTGTACAACTATGGCGCAGTTTCATCGCGCCGCTGTCTTCCTCCTCCTCCTCCTCCTCCCCGCCTGATCTCGGGGAATCATCCACTACCACCCACCGCTATTTTCGCCCCTTCAGACTCGTACGCGCGAATCGGGATTGGCCACCGGAAACGCGTGATAATTAATCCCCCATTATACTGAGACTGACGGGATTCGGTTGCTGATCGGTGAAGTTCTCAATTTGATCGAATGGAGTTCGGCTTGAAATCGGGCAGCACGCTTCTGGTGATACTTTTGAGGTTATGCATGAGGAGAATTTTTGCAAAATTTGTGGCGGTTGTTATGGTAAAAGTTCATCAACGTTGGCGATATTGAGTTTGTAATGTTGAGAACTAGCATAGGCTATTAGTATAGGATAGACGTTTATAATTTGAATTTGAATCGGATCGAGTATTTTTCAATAAAAAATATTTCGATTTCGTCCATTTCTATATTTATAGAATTTATTTGTATTATTTTGTGTACCTTGTCTATATTTATATTATATATTTATTATTATACAGAGTGTCCCAAAATAATGCTATTTCCGGGAAATAAGGGGTTCCCGAGATCATTTGGAGTAACTTTTTCCGAAAGTTGCTAAAAATTCTACGAGGCTTCGTTTACGAGTTATTATAGAAAAACAGTGACCAATGAGAGGCGAGTTCGAGTAGGCGCGCGGCGGCCGAGTCAACGAGCGCTCGACTGCCTTGCGCCAACCGAGCTCGTCTTTGATTGGTCAGTGNAATGTTGAGAACTAGCATAGGCTATTAGTATAGGATAGACGTTTATAATTTGAATTTGAATCGGATCGAGTATTTTTCAATAAAAAATATTTCGATTTCGTCCATTTCTATATTTATAGAATTTATTTGTATTATTTTGTGTACCTTGTCTATATTTATATTATATATTTATTATTATACAGAGTGTCCCAAAATAATGCTATTTCCGGGAAATAAGGGGTTCCCGAGATCATTTGGAGTAACTTTTTCCGAAAGTTGCTAAAAATTCTACGAGGCTTCGTTTACGAGTTATTATAGAAAAACAGTGACCAATGAGAGGCGAGTTCGAGTAGGCGCGCGGCGGCCGAGTCAACGAGCGCTCGACTGCCTTGCGCCAACCGAGCTCGTCTTTGATTGGTCAGTGTTTTTCGTTAATAACTCGTAAACGAAGCCTCGGAGAACATTTTCGCTGAGGAAAAAGTTACTACAAATGACCCCAGGAATCCCCCATTTCCCGGAAATACCATAATTTTAGGACACCCTGTATATTTATATTATTGAAATAAATTTATATATTATATATTTATTTAACGTTGTGATAAATTCGTCATAGCTGTCTACAATTTCGTTCATTCAAATTTGTTTCATAATTATGTGCTTTCCTTTGCGTTTCTCTTATTTTATATTGCATCGTTTTATTACGTTTATTTTAATTCTAACAAACGTATAATTTTCTAAAAGTAGCACGACCGAGCCGACAAATAAAAACGTAGGGTTCGGTACCATAGAATGACATCATCTCGTAAGTCACAGCAAAACCCGTGCCGGAGAAGGTTCCTTTTTTATATTTTCGTTTGCATTTTTCATTTAACTTTTCCGTGTGATTTTCGCTCGATCCTCGGTATCCCGACTATTGTCTTTTCACTTTACTGTCGCGGAAATACACGGAGAGGGTGTGGAAGGGTGTGGAAGGGTCTCGAGTGGTAATCCTTGGGATTCGAACTCGGAGCATCTTGGTGGAAGGCAGCTATTCTGCTGATTGCGCTACCGAAGACGATAGTCTTTACGTCTTTTTAGGAATGGGAACCTTAACTTCTTCGACTCGCAACTTCTGCCGTTGTCGCGATAGCTTCTTGCTTCTCGATTGTGCCACTCGACTCTCCGACGCTGCGAAGAATGTACGATAGCAAAAATCATTTTCGAAGCGTCCGATAGTCCATCAGTTGGATCCTGAAGGAGTCACCGATGCCCTTGAATAAATATTGTTCACTTCCGTGTTCGAAGACGATAGAAATATTCTAGACGACCGAAGTTCTAAATTTAAGCCGATTAAGATGGTTAAAATTACCCGTGCAGGTTATTTAACGACTATTATACCGTTCGATAGCTGACCAAGAAAACCCTGTAACTTGTCATGTCCCCCCACCGTTGGCTTTTTAAAATTTTGACAAGAACGTGGCTTATTTTGGACATCAAGCCGCACATTATAGAATATTGTGTAATAATAATAATAACGAGTATTTCTTGGTCAGCTATCGTAACGTATTATACTCGTTAAAAAATCTCTAAGGGCTATTTCGACCGTCTTAATCGGCCGGGCCCTTTACGAAGTCGAAGCACATCATTTCCTCGGTGAAAGTAAAATTGATCGCAGAGCCGTTACAATTTAAACTCTTTAAAACCCTGGAGATTATAATGAAATTTTTACGCGCCCACGGGAATTGCAATAAAAATTAATTTCATGGCCTGGGTAATTTGAAACTCTCATAAATCTCAAAGGACGGCGATTTCTCAGCGGAAAGACCGTTTCACTTTTTTAAGATCGATAATTCGATCCATGGTTAGAGGAAAGTTAGTTGGTAAACCGGTGCTGTAAATGCTGTGAGCATTCGTAAAAGCCGGTGCCATAGCTTCCGGCGAACTTATTCGACAGCGCCGTCGAACAAAACGTCGATGCAGCTTTACCGAGTAAACTCTGGACACTTAACAGTTTCGAACAGCATTACCGAATTTCCGCTAAGCATTCGGATCGCATCGCGCACAATGGGATCTGCCCACGCGATACCGTTCGGTGAAACAAAATCTCGCCGCGAAGCAATTCCGCCAACTAACCCCCGAAACTAAATACTCGACAGTTTTGAACAGCGTTCACGTATTTCCGGTTTCCCTTAGCCCTGCGACGAGACGGAATCGTAACCTCCGATAGCAAAACTTCCGGGCTTGAAATCTGTGACTTAGGAATCAAACGATAACGGCGAAACATTTCTTAAATTCTTGAATTACATTGCGCGTTAAATGCTGTCACATGTCTTGTACGTAAATTGGATCTATCTGACCCGAAACGAAGCTATAATTTCTCATTTTTTGTTGTTGTTCAATCGTTGCTTGAACTGTAACTTCTTCATATTCTCAAATTTATAATAGACATTAATAAATTCTTTCAGAATTTTAAGTAATTTATAACATGCTTTTTAACGAAGAATGTTTTCATTTTTAGGTACATTTACGTATCTGGAACTTGTGGACCGTGTTTCGTTTTATTCCAAGCAAGTATGCAGTTATTTATATTAAAATAACGTTACATATATATTTTTTACGAATTTCAATTACTGTACGCGTCGCGGTATTCTATTTACAATGTTACAATACGGAATTTTATACAGGGTGTCCCGAAATTATGGTACTTCCGGGAAATTAGAGATTAGTGAGGTCATTCGAAGCAACTTTTTCCTTTACAAAAATTTTTTACGAGGCATCGTTAACGAGTTATTAACGAAAAACACTGACCAATGAGAGGCGAGCTCGGTTGGCACGAAGCGGCCCAGCCAACGAGCGCATGAAGCCTAGTTCCGCTCATTGGCTCGGCCGCCTAGCGTCAGGCGAGCTTCCCCCTCATTGGTCATTGTTTTTCCTCAATAACTCATAAACGATGCCTCGGAAAAAATTTTTGTAAAGAAAAAAGTTACTTCAAATCACTCCAGGAACTCCTCATTTTCTGATAATACCATAATTTTCGGACACCCTGTATACGATAGCAATTATACATATAATAGATATTTGGTGTCGATAGTAAGTTGATCTCGATTGACGACTGTCCGTCGATACAATAGTTACGTGGCAACCCTTATCTCCTATTATTTCCGTAGGGGTTGCGTCCACCACAGAGCTGTATTACATTACAACGACTTGATTTAGACATGTTGCCGTAACATTGCCCTCCTTATCGCCGTAGCAAATTAACCATATGTTAATATAGGTTGCCATGTAACTGATGTATCGACGGACGTCGATCCGTCGTCAGTCGAGATCAACTTACTATCGATACCAAATATCTGTAATACACATAATTGCGCATATAATTTCGCATTGGAATATTATACAGCATGGTTAAAATTACAATTTATAACAACTAAATGAACTAAATTTATTCTTTGGTCTTGTTTTGCACAAACACGTTACAGTGAGCACAACGTTTTAATTTAAACAATTATAGTCAATTATATTCTCTCTCAGTCAGAAGTAAATTACCTTTAGAAATAAAAAAATTAACGTTCTAAATTAGTGGAAGCATTCTCAGAAGTGTACTATACAATTTTCAAGTATGCTCGGACCATAAATTCGACCAAATTAATTGTAGGAAAAGGGAATGCCCAGGTTTCAGATGGAATTGTTTGAATATTAATTTGACGACGTATAACGAGACGCTTTAAGACAATTTATCACAATGTTGCGCAATGTGGGCACAGCGTACACTGCTTTAGTCCATTCCAGCGGTCCCGACACTATCATTTATTTCTTCCGTACTCGGAATAAAATTCCGCGTCCCTTCCGGTCACCAGCGGCGTTACAGCGGCATTGTTATTTCCCAAGACGAAGATCCACGAAAAAAGATGCACAGGCGGAGAGGAAGGGGGAGAGAGAGAGAAAGAGAGGGGGAGAGAGAGAGAGAGTGGATAACGCTGCAACGAGACGGCAATTTGAAACGGTCAGCTGACCAGAGCTATCCGACCGGCAAGCGTTTAATCGACTGAATCGTCACGGCGCAACTCGCATTGATTCGTTTCACCTCTGAGCTCTCTGGGATTCTCATGGAAATGCTCGTAAATCCGTCGGACGATTTTAATAATAAACGAGCTGTAGAATTTTATACGCTGTCGCATTTTTATGAACCGATCGGACGGTGCGCGCGAAGTTTTATCTTCCTCGTCGACGAGATCCACCAACGAAACGATGAATGCAACTCCATTATCTTTTTTTCAGTATAGAGATCTTCGATTTAATAATGGCATGCGACGCTTTTCAAATAAAAGTAATAATTTTCTAGACGAACGTCGAGTTATTTCAATCTCGGCTACGTTCGTACAATTTAATGTGCTACGAGACTGCAGGACAAAAAATTGAATGCAAAATTCTGTGGACATGTTATTGAAGGACGATTCCACTTTTTCAAGAGATGGTAGTTTCAGTCACAGATAAATTTGTTAGGTATTTGAATTTGTTGAATTTTCGAGAAGTTTGTCTTATTATTTAATGGCATATTTTACATTCGATGCGTAATAAAACACCAAGAAAAAATCGTACAACGAATTTTTATGACATGTTGAAAATTGCAAGCTTGAGCACTTGGCAGTTTCGTTCGCGAATGAATTCGTTGAATTGCGTACAGATGTGTAAAAGAAACAGTTCAGGGAGATTAAAATATAGACATGCAGTTTGTTCCTCGATTTTTTATTGAAACGTTACACTGGGTTAAACATCGACATGAATTGTCTTAAGATGCAACAATCTCCCGAAAAATGTTCCCAAAAAAAAAAAAATTCAAACTTCTGTACAGAGTGAACAAAATTTTTCTTCCGACTTAAATTAAATGGACTTATATATATATAGAATAAAGTCTCTCCTTTCGATCGAGTCCACAAAAATCGACCTGCGATTTTTTCCCCGCCTTCTATTATAGTTCGAACGACACGCGGTAGAATAAGCAACTATGATCAGACGCGCGCGTCGAATTCAGACTCGCCTCCTTAAATTTCCATCAGCCTTATTTATACAATAATTCGAACCTCGATAACCATATTATCCTCCCCGCGAGAAATAAATTACAATTTAATATTTTCGAAGAAAATTGGGGTCATCCGAGGACCTCGAAATTTCCATTTGGAAAGCCAAGGATTTGAAAACTCGGGGCGACCTAATCCACCGAAGGTCACCCGATCGTCCACGTGCCTTGGGCACGCCGAGCTGTCCATTGTCAAGGGTAGCCTCGTGGCAGAATCGGAACACCCGCATTACCCTAGTTAAGAGACATTTAAATTCGAAACGACGGGGCCTCGAACATAAACCGTGAATAATCGTTTTTGTTTGCCGGGAGAGGCCGTCTCGCGGGATTACGCTATCGTTCGCGAAGTCTTTGTCGCGAGCTTATGTTAATTCGATAGCGAGCTCCCCGGCGCGACGGTCGAGCAGTTTTGTGTCCCGAACTTACCCAGCGTTATTATAAAAAGCGGAGCCGGGTCTTTGAACGGCGACAGAGGACCAGGGGCCGTTCACCACTCTGTGGATTGACGCTTAAAAACTGACAGCCCCCACGGTTTTTCTCCGCTGTTATTCCGAACTCCGGCATTCGAAGAATTGCTATCGAACTTTTTATGGGATACGATGGAAATTCGAGCGTGTCTCGCCGGGGAGCCGCTTTCTTTGCCTGTTATCGGTATTCCGGTAGTACGTGGCTGTTTCCGCGGGCCGTTTGATGCGTTCGCTTGCCCAGATAAAATCATGCTCAGTCGGAGGACGCGAGTTGTGTCCGTCGATCCAAGTCTTTGATTATACGACGTCCAGAAACCAGAATGAGAAAAATCGTGACTGACAATGTGGCGCTTGTAACGTGTTTATACCGAACGTTTCTCGACGTAAATATTGACACCTGCTCTTCGGATAAAAAATCTGATGTGTAACCTTCAGGAAGAGTCAGATATTTCCGAACGCATTTTTACGTTATGCAAGGAAAGTACCCTAAATTTGTAAATAAAGTACGAACCACTCTTCTAATCATAAAAATTGAGAAACATATTTTAGATTAACTCATTAACATTTTCGGTTAACACATTTTTGCAAACTTGTTGCGTTTAGAGCTTCGATAAAAAGTTCCTCTTTAAAGAAGGTAGCAAAAAAATTCCGTGGAATTTGTAAGTAAAGTTAGTAAGGTTAATATTACCTGTAAGAGCAAGGTCAGATGTAACTCGAGATTTTCCACGAGTGGATCGAGTAATCAACGCACGCGTCGAAAAATACACGAAAACTTGATCCAGTTACAGTGCACAGTAATCGAAACAAGACGTAAATTCGTTTCAGTTACTGAATTATTTCGCGTAAAAAAATATATCTAAGAAATCGATTATATTATTGCTTTCCCGTAATTTAGACAAGTTTTATGAATTGTTTTGCCTCTTATTGGTCAGTGTTTTTCGTTAATAACTCGTAAACACAGCGGCGGATTGCATTTCCGCTAAGGAAAAGGTTACTTCGAATGACCTCAGGAATCATTCCTTTTCGGATGGTGACATATTTATGGTTACCACCCTGTCTAGGTCTTAACAAATTAAAGTTTCGATTCGGTTACGAAAATTACAGATCATATTTTATTAAAAAAAATCAATATCTGTTACAATAATAATGTTATCTTTCAATACAAAGAAAGTTATTGTGGAGGCACAGTTTTCGGGTAGTGTTTGTTCGTAATTAATAGTACTCTCGCGTGCGGTGATAGAAAGTTCTTTTTTATTTCGCGGACTATGTCTGCGGACGAGTCGCGATACAGTGATCGAGTTTGATTTTTCGTTTCGCCGTTTGCCCTGGTAAAATTCTTGAACAACCCTGATTGGTCAACCCCACGCGTTGGGCCTTTCCAATCAGCGTTGTTCATTTTGTCCTTTTTACCGCCCGCCCCTTACGCTCTTTGCGTATTTTCGAGACGGCTTGGTAATCGGAGGGGATGATGAGTCGTACGTGACAACGTGTGGAACTTTTCCTCCGGGTCACCCACGTCGGACCACATGGCCTTTGGGTCGCTGGGCCCGCTTCGAGTACCCTTCGGAAACTCTCCTAATTTATGACGGTCTCTTTAGCTATTGAGGAATTTCTTAAAAGACTCTACTGCAAACATGTGCTATCAAGTGGTGAGCTTGTCTTCTCAAAAATAGCTTCTTCGAAGGAGAGTCATAAATTACGTTGGCCGTTTGCACGAGGACTGAAGATCTTATCGTGCGCACGAATGGTCGCTACACAGTAATCGACACATTTACCTTACCGTTCCAACTTTTCCCAAATGAGATGATCGCAAAAATTGTGCTCAGTGTTGCGCAAACATGGTCGCGCACGTGATCCATTTAGGGACTCCATCGATCGGCAATGATTCGAATCCTGCGCAGCGGATGCTCGGCTCGTTAGCGGCCGACTAACGAACATATTTTCGTTCGCGCTTCGTTACTCGGATGGGATAACAGGAAGTTTGTAACAACGTTGCGGCTCGCGTCGTTGCACCATAGGATTAA